TTATTTATCGCCACCAGTCTGTGTGCCACTATACAACTAATTAGCATCCGCAACGTTCACAAAAAGTTGCGCTTTACCAATAGATTCACGTACAGACAGCTACCTAGCTTGTTAGTTAGCAACCTCGTGATAAAACAGAGGGCCCCGGCACGCGGCACCAGCTCACATTTAAAGCAGACAAACCGGGAAAGCAGAAGTACCTGCGAGCAGAAATAGGAACCTTGAATACCAAGCTTGATACATGTGGGGCACTGAAGTTTGGCGTCCTTACTGCAGCCCTCTGTCTCACACTCCCTTCTAGCCTCGGTGCTCGCCATGCCTGCTCCGTCTGCACAAGGGGTGGAGTCGACGACAAGCAGCCAGCCGGCGCAGCCAGCCAGTGGCAGCTGCATGCACGGCGCATGTCCGCAGCGGGACCGTCACGTTGCATAGTTCGGTCCAATCAACAGAAACTTTCCTAACAGAGAATTGTAAGATGGCGACCGCCGAACCGGTGAGTACTTTCTGTAAAGAACACATGAAAACATATGAGGGTATTTTCGCTTCGATTACAGGGCGGTGTCGGCCGTAAACTTCACGTACAACTCTTAACGTTAGCCCGTGAATGCTTAATGAGCGTTGTTGGGGCCGCACGTGTTGTTTTGAGTACTTCAAGTTTGTCTTGGGTGCCACGAGCGAGGCGTAAAACAGGAATGCTTGTGTGTGGAAATCTCCCAACTTTCAAGGCTGACGTTACTGCTACCAGTCGAGGGAAGCACATTAACTGTCACCTGAAAACCAGTCACTTTTAGTGACGGACAGTGCGCAGCAGTGAAGTGAACCTCCAAGAAACATGCGTTTATTAGAAGCATGTGAAATCATACCTTATATCCGAGGAGGACTTTATGTAAATAAAAATCCAGCTGTCAGAATGGTTCGACACATGACCTCTGCGGTCCGCCGTTAGCAGTGCTGTAAGCTGAGGTAAATGATGTAGAAGCACAGTTAGTCTTTGTCTCGCGTCATAGTGAAATGTGTTCCAGATGTTCGTAATGGATTCCGTAAACATCTGCTTCCGTCACGGAATTTAAGTCGATTAAGTTTCGTTTTAGGCTAAAATATCAGTTTCTTTAAAAAAAAAAAAAGGGACTTCTACTATTGGAAACAAGTAAACAAGAGGAAAAACCAGAACTCAAACATGTTGTTTTCAGTTTTATTGTATATATACAATAAATAAAATACCTTCTATTAGTGTTGAGCCTCCATCTATTTTTTAGGAAACTAACCCAAGTCCTTCCCAGCCTGATGAAGATGGAGCTGAGCAGACCGGACAGGAGATTGTGAGCCCAGAGGCCTACATCAAACACCCGCTCCAGAACAGGTAGAGACCGCAGGTTTATGTGAACCGACCCAAAGTTTTCCTTCAAGCAAGTCATGAAACTTTTGGTAACACCTCAGGACGCTTATTTGATGAGCTGTTCTACAGCGTTATTTAAATTAACTTTAATTTCAGTGGTTACCAGTACATGAAACCTGCATGTTTATATATTAAAAAAAGAAAACCTGTTGAATGACCCCAAAAAAGATTTCTGAAAACGTCTTAAAAACTCCCACAGTCTCAAAATTTCTTTATCTTTCCAGATAAAAACTAAAGATCAGAATTACTCGTTTAAATTATTTTATGCCAACAGTTGCTTTACTGTTATTTCTGGCAAAACAAACAAAAAAATACTGTGTGTTGCACGTGTTATCACATTATTGAATAGTAATTAATAGTATGGCTTGTCTGTTAAGGCCCAAATAATATATATATAATTGTTGCCTCACTTCCTATTACCAAATCGTGTCCAGTGTGCGTGAGTCGTCTGTGTGATGTGTTTCTAGGCCTGTAAATCAGTGCTGCTTATCAGCTGAAGTCAAAAAGTCTGATAGTTTGTTCGCCTCCTTGCTTTGCATAACTGTTGAGGACTGTTATTAAAGTTTAAAATTGTATAATAAAGCCTTAGTTACTATTTTTAGAATAGCAATTAGGCAGGCTTTGCTTTAATTCAACAGGATTAAAGTAATTTTTGTCTAAGTGGCTTGAAAATTGTGCTTTGGAGGCAAAACAAAACAAAAGCATTTCAGTTGCCATTCACATAGGACATGCCAGCATCTTATCACGGTCAGTAAGAGCGACCGCTTGCAGATGTGTGTGGGAGTGGATAAATGTCAAGATGAAAAGTGCATCAAACTCCAGAGGAAATCCTGGTGACCTGTGTCAGACTCATGTTTGATCACAACGCTCAGTTCAAGAACTGAATGACCGTTTCTCCTCATGGCCGAAGCAGCCGCTCATGCAGAAGTGAAAGAGAGACATGAATTGACCACTCACTGAAAACAATGAGTGCTGTGTTTAC